TTCTTTAAAGATCATAAGAAGTGCAGGAATCATTTAAGTAAAATCAGTGTGGGTTAATTTCTTCAAATATGCTACTAAAAAGCAAGAGCAGAACTGGCTGGTTTACTCTCATTTAACACCATTCTACATGGAAAACATCAATGGAATCTACCAGATCCCCCAAAGTCTCAAGGTTAAATTTGGATGATCTTGTTTTTTTTAAAGCCACCTAGGCCACCAATAATGTCTGTAAGCACTTCCTGTGAATCATTTTTGAAGTGTACACAGTATAGTACTTGGATTGGGGGGAAGACACCGAAGGAAAAAGTGAACAGAAATAAACTGCACAGATGCAGTCACCAGGAATGAAGATCCAGTAAAGCAGGAGTCTTCAAACTTGGCCCTTTTATGACTTGTGGACTTCAACTCCCAGAATTCCTCACCATCGTGCCTGGCTGAGGAATTCTGGGAGTTGAAGTCCACAAGTCATAAAAGGACCAAGTTTGAAGACCCCTGCAGTAAAGAGTTTTATTTTTCCCATAGACATGGCAAACAAAGGCCATGTCTAACTAAAGTATTATTTCAAAACTTGCTGCACTGTTCAAATGGGAAGGAGACAATTGAATGAGGAGGTGCTTGCAGAGGTGCCTATGAATGGAGGGAGGCCACCAGCTTTCATTCAGTTCCCATTATGGTCCCTTAACAGGAGCTAGGAAGGACATGGAACATTTTTGTCTTCTATGTGTTTGTGGTCTCCAAGTCCAGCAGCTCCACCCAGCATGGCCAACAATCAGGGATGACAGCATGTATACCGATAGTAAATCAGGAAGATCACACATTCTTTATTCTCTGATCCAGAATTTATATAGTTTGAAATGCTGAGACTGGGATTCAGCTAACAACAGTAAATCAGAACATTAGTGCTCAATGAACATTCAGAATGCAAATATTTTTATTGAAAAATGCCATCAATGTTTCTTCTACTAGATCTGCTTCTATAATAAGAAACCTTGAGATTTGTTGTATAAGGCTGCAATCTTGTTCAAATACTTAGTTATAAGCCCCATTAAAGTCATAGGACTTGCTTCTGAATAAACACTGATGAAATTGCATAACATCTCAGTTTGTCCAGTGAAATGAATGAGCCTACTGTATAAGACTATAGTCCTTCACACAATTATCTGTGAGTAAGCCCCACAGCAGACCTATTTCTGAGTAGGCATTGTGGAATTTCTGCTATTATAATTCTATTTACAAAAAAGTCAATGCCATTCAGTTGAATGGGATTTCTGAGGTAACATCTGAATAAAACAGGCTTTGCAAATGCCTAGCTTTGGATCATTTCCAGAAAGCTAATATTTATTGCATAAATTGGTATCACATGTTTGAGTATTGCACACAGTTGTTTTTAAAACTGGGAGTGACTGTCTGCAGAGATGCAACAGGGAAGGTCAAAATAGAAGATGGCCATGATTAATTAAGACTGACAGTGACAGGTATAAAGAACATAAATCTGACAGTTCTTGCATTAGAAATATTTGGGGACTCATCGCTTATAACTCCAGAAAATAAGTCAGCATTCTGATTGCTATGTGGATGAGCCAGATGATATGTAAGTAACTTGGTTAATGGAGGTACAGTACTCTCTTTGGGGAGATGGGTATGCAGGCTGTCTCTGCATACAGAGCTNCCAGGGAGCGTTTCCACAGACGAAGAACACGCTTGAATCACGTCGGGGTCACCAGTTGTGGCGATCGCTGGGGATCCCACTTGTCCCTTTTCTCCGGGATGAGGTGATGTACGTTGGATGAGACCAACGGACCTCGCTTTAGGTTAGGAAACACACGGACAACATGTTTCTTCAGGTGAGATGGCAGGCGAGAGCGAGAGCCCCCCCCAAAAGCCTTTGTGCCTCTCTTTTTATTGGTCTATAAACGTCATTAGGGGATGTACAAAAGCAGGAGGGGGAAAGGGTCTTCATTACCATATATGGAGCGAGAAACAAGAAACCAGGAGACCCTAAATCATTCTTTAGCTTACGTATCAGAAACTTAGGGTCTTCAAGGCAGGCTTTTCTAGGAAATGAGACTTAAGTCAAGAAACGAAACCTAAGGCAGGCTTTGCAGGAGAAATGAAACTTAACAGAGGGGATGGGCTCATTGTATGGACAAGGAACAAAACCTACAGGCATTTCATAGGAAACGAAACTTATGTTAGAGATGAAACTTATAGCAGTGGAAAAGTACCCAGGGATATTGCAACATTTTTTTTCTGAAAAAAAATTTACACAGCTGAAAACATATTTTGGGGCAGATAAGGAATTGAAATAAAAAATCAATTTTATCATCAGTTAAAAACTTTTGCTATAACTGAGTATATTTAGTGTGTAAAAGTAGAAATGTTTGCTAACCTTTTTCAACAATCTCATTATTTTCAGGGTTTATGATTTGGCTAAAATATAATAAATATTGATGTATGTAGAATCACAATCACACAAGCTGGATAACTATGTAACTTTTTTGATTTTGGTACTGTTAATAAACATAACTCTTCCAAATAAGATAACATCACAAGAAACCGTATACTGATAATTTCCTTATTTTCCTTTCAGTAGTCAGCTCAGCCATACAATATTTCATATATTAGTTTCTACATATTTGCATACTACATTAGTCATATTTAAGAGTACCCTAGTGAGTTTCTCTAACTAAGCAAATATGGCTGAGCATATTTATGCCTGAATATATCACACAAAATCTCAAAATTACCCATGTAATAACAAGCTATTGTTTAAGAAGAGCAAGGAGAACATCGCAATTCTTCCAGCAAAAATAAATTAATATGATTTTCCTCAATCGCAGCTCGTATAGTAAAGCCCGCAAGCCACTGATCCGCCCGGCTTGGTTTAATCCCGGTCTCTCCTGCTTTTGCTTAACAGCGCTCATTCTCCATTGGCAAATTGCTCCTCCAGCCGTTCTTCTTCATTGGAGGAGGAATTGCTTAAAGGCGGCGTTTTCGTGAGTGACAGCCGGCTGGAGCAATAATACGCCGCGCTAATCAAAACTCACCCTTCCGAAATAGGTCGTGCTGCAACTAATGAAGGGCGTCAAGTTGCCGTGCTTTCCGTAGAGAGGAGTTGGTAAACAAGCCCCGATAATCAGGGTTTGGCATCCCTGTGGAATCGCCCCTGGGCAGCGAGCAGTGTGGAGCACGCAGGTGAGAGATCCTCAGGAGCAGCTGTCGGCGCGCGCTCCGTTAAAAAACAGCCCGTCCTCTTTCGTTTGCATCTACTTCCTGGGCCGGCTTCTGGGAGACCTTGACTCGGGACGTTTTGCATTTCGGCATCTTTCCTGAATCAGTGCAAAGTTGCCGCCTCTAGGGCGCATGCAGTGCAATCCCGGTAGAAAAGGGTCTTCATTCAAGAAGATAGGGGGAGCTTTCGGTGTGAAAAATGGCTCTTCCTGTGAGCATCCTTAATGGGGCCTGCCTTAGGAAGTAGATAAGATTAAGGCTGCAGCCCTCGGAAGTGGCAGTAGTTGAAGTCTGGGACTGGAAGCAATTCTCACTGTTATTCTCACTGTTAGGAAGGAGAAACTTCCTAACAATGAGAACAATTAACCAGTGGAACAGCTTGCCTTTGGGAGTTGTGGGTGTGGCATCACTGGAGGTTTTTAAGAAGAGACTGGACAGCCACTTGTCTGAAATGGTATAGGGCAGGGGTCTGCAACCTTGACAACTTTAAGACTTGTGGACTTCAGCTCTCAGAATTCCTATGCTGGCTGAGGAATTCTGGGAGCTGAAGTCCACAAGTCTTAAAGTTGTCAAGGTTGCAGACCCCTGGTATAGGGTCTCCTGCAACTAACAAGTGACAAGCCCGGGAAATCAGGAAGACCATGACCATATGGAAACACTCCCATGTAGTTGGTCAGTTGAGCTATTGTAAAACATAAGTCCAGTGCTCTCTCAGAAGAGTACTAAACCCATGTTTAAAACAGCCTGATTACTTAACAGCTGACAGGCACCAAGGTATGTACACCATGCAGCCTCATTCCCTTGCCTAGTCAAACATAACAGCTTACAGGTCCAAAAGAGGAAGCAGTGGCAGAGGGGAATACAACTCTTTACCCACCAAATAAACAAAGCTTTGAAGTAACCCATCCACTTTTGTATTTTGCCTACTTTTCCAGCCTGGGAATCAACTGTCTGGAGCTTCTCAAAGCTTTAAGGAAGGTTTGAAGATGCCTGAACAGGTCTAGCCAAACTCTGCTTCTTCTACAGTTCCATTCATGATTAAGGAGAATCATTGGTAGATATTTTCCTGCCAGTTGGTGACATTTATCGAGGGGAGAGGAAAGCAAAATCAGGGAATCCACCATTTCCTTAATATGCCCTGCACACAATAAACAAGGGCATCATCATTAGGTGGGACAGTTCCTTTAGCACACGGGTGTCAAACTTGCCACGTTACATGATGTGTCACAACGTATCGCGACTCCTTTTGCATTGCCGGCAATGGTTGGGCGTGGCTTCGGTATGATGAAACTGGCCCGCGGGCCGGCAGTTTAACACCCCTGCTTTAGCAGGATACAGATTGACAGTGGAAACAGCAGGTTTTATGCTGGTATTGTTTTCTGATGGCTGAAGGATTGGTGAATGGCTCTTTAACAGAATCATGAGAAGGAGCTTTTTCAGGCTACAGGTCAGTGTAATAGAGTTCCTCAACCTTTGGGGATTAGTGGCAACATTTGGAATTTTGAAACGTGTTTTGGATATATTAACAAAAGACTACTGGAATGAGCCTGAATTCACAAAATGGCTGCCATATGTGAAATAAGCTAACAAATACCAATCAGAATGTTATCTGCTACCTTCTCTACTTACTTTTCTGAAGGATGCTTCTTACAGTTATGCTGTTTCTGAATAGGTGGGTAAATTTTCAAACAGCATTGGGAAACAATTTTTCTATAATCTAAGAAAGGTGTGAAGTCATATTTGTGACTCAAGGCATTTTGGATAGTAATGATAATACTGAAATTTGCCACAGGTTAGTTTTTAATCAGATTTGTTTGTTGGAAAAGTACAAAATTAAGTGGGACAAGGAATCTGGCAGGCACATTGACTGCAAGCCACACAGGTACTTGAATTGTATTCACTAAATGTGGCGTAAGCCTTGTTGAAAGTAATAATATTTACTTTCAAATACTCATCTTTGGGTGTTGATATTAGGCTTTATCTTTCCACTTAAAATAAACATGAATTAAAGATTTGCAGTCTTAACATTTATTAGTTTTGCTTTTTAAAAAAAAAATCTTTCAAGCTTGACATTGTTCTTGGCTCAGACAAGGCCACCTGTATATTGGAATTTAAAGCTAATGGAAAATATTTCTACAGAGAAAGGATGTGGTTTATCTTTGCAAGCAGAGAAGTTCTATTGTGTTTTTAAATAGATAAACTAGATCTGCTCAGATCTGCTCACTCTAAATGTTTTTTTTAAAAAAAATCATGTAATATTTTATTCTTATCAGACCAGTATATTTTCAGTAGTAATTTGGCTTCTGGCAATACCCACTAATACTTTTTTTCTACTTGATTTAAACCAGGGATGAATATAACTCAAACTTTACTATTGTGTTACTTTTATTAGAATTCCAAGAGTTGCTAACAAGAACCAGGTGAAAAAGCAAAAATGTAGGTGGAACTAGGTATCTGCTGTATCTTATGAACAATTCTTCAATTCAAACCTGGATCTAGGCTATATTTTCTTTTTTTCCCCAATAAAAAAGGTATTGTTTTTTATTTTTATTCTTTTTTTAAATGTACACCTCCCAGAGCCTTTTGGAACCAGTCAATACCTAAGTAAAGTAATTGTTGATTGCATATTCAGCCAGATATTTAGACTGGATGTTGCATTTTTAACCTCCTTTTGAATTCTTCCTGAAGACCTGGGATAAGCAAATGTTGTTTGATGGTGTTAGAATTATATGGTTGGAAGGTACCTTGGAGATTGTCTAGTCTAGTTTCTTGCTCAAGGCAGGAATCTTCATACCAGCTTGGACAAATAATTGTACAAACGTTTTTTTGAAACCTCCAGCAATGGAACACCCACAACTCTGGGAAGCAAGCTGTTCCACTGCTTAATAGTTTTTGCTGCCAGGAAATTCCAGATTGGATCTCCCACTGACAAGCTTCCACCCATTGTTTCTTGTCCTACTCTCAAGTGCTATAGACAATAAGTCAGTGCTCTCTTCCCTGTGCAGCCTTTCAAGTATTGGAAGACTGCTATCATGCACAAGTCTTCTCTTCATGAAGCTAAACATACCTAGTTCCTTCATGGGTTTTAGCTTCAGATTTCTTATCATCTTTGTTGCTCTTCTCTGTAATCTTTATAGGACATCAGCATATTTTTTTGTGTTGTGACCAGAACTGGACACAGTATTCCAGATAAGGCCTCCCCAGTCTGGTCTAGAGTGGTACTGTACTTCTCTTGATCTTGATACTAACCTCCGTTCATGCAGCCCAGGACTGAGTTGGCTACTGACTCATCCTTAAGCAGTGGTCCACCAGGACACTTTGAATGCTCTCATAGGTACTACTGTTGAGCCTATCCTGTATCTGTATACCTGATTTTTTTCTATCTAAGTGCAGGACCTTTCTTTTTTTGCCACTGAACTGCATCTTGTTGGATAGGGCCCCAGCCTCAAGTCTGTCAAGATCTTTCTGACTCTTGACTCTATCTTCCAAAATGTTAGCAATTTCCCCTGACTTTGTGTCATCCCTTTAGGTTTTTTATGAAAATGTGTTATTGTCTCTCCGCTTCTGTTCAATATTTATGTGAAGCCGCTGGGGGAGATCATTCGTGGCTTTGGGGTGGATTTCCATCAGTACGCTGATGATACTCAGTTGTACATATCCACCCCGGGCCACCCCAATGATGCCCTTGACGTGATGACCCGATGTCTGGAGGCCGTGAGGGTCTGGATGGGGAGGAACAGACTCAGGCTCAA